TGATTATTGAGAACGGCTTATCAAAGTTTGCATTGTGATCAGGCCCTGCCCTGCCCGGTCCCCTGCTCGGCACCCCCGCTCCGCCCCTGCACCATGTTGTCCTGCCTTACAGATCTTAAAATCTGGTCACCCCATGATAGCTGCACCACTCTGAATATAACGAATACCATTCAATTTCATGCTTCCAAAGTATGAATTTTATGGTCTGTAAATTTTATCTCAATAATAGCAATAAAAAGAAAGATGTCCTTGGCTTTCAGGGTTGAGTAAACATATATATATATATATTTTTTTTTTTTTTTAAACAGAGCCCCCAGCTGTCCCCCTGGGTAGAGTGCCGTGGCATCATGCTCACAGCAACCTCCAACTCCTGGGCTCAAGTGAGTCTCCTGCCTCAGCCTCCCAAGTAGCTGGGAGCACAGGCCCCCGCCACAACGCCCGGCTATTTTTTGGCTGCAGCCGTCATTGTTGTTTGGCGGGCTCGGGCTGGGGACTCGAACCCGCCACCTTAGGTGTATGTGGCTGGCGTCTTAGCCGCTTGAGCCACAGGCGCCGAGCCGAGTAAACATATTTAAATCATTCTGTATCTCCTAAGGCTGGCGGTTCAAAGTGTGGTCCATGATCCGTAGCAACAGCGTCTCCTGGGAGCTTGTTAGAAATGTATAATTAGAGGTCCCATCTCAGCCCTACTGAATCAGAATCTGTACATATAACAAAGTTCCCAGGTGACACGAATGGGCACTGAAGTTCCAGAAGCACAGCGTTATTGAGACAATGTAGTCTATAGCTGAGGTGACACATATTTCCAGGCCTCCTCATACCAATGCACCCTATTTTGTTGACATGACAGAGATTAGAAAAAGATGTTTTTTCTTCAGTGGTTCTTTTTACTTATTTAATGTTAGAAAATGAAAGAAAAGCCAATGCAAGGGCAAGTATGGACCATGTCATGAAGTGTGGGTGTAAGCACGCTGCAAAATGTCCCCACACAAACGCTTTTTTTTTAACCTGATGGAAATAACATCGGTGGGAACTTTCGCAAGGCAGCTATTTTTGTTGTGTGTTTACTAACATGGCTGTCAGCTCTGTGGGATGGGGAGACTGACAATATTCTGGGACTCTTACGCCCTTAGATCGTTGAAAATTCTTATTTGTATTTTTTGCTTAGTAATTTGTATTTGTTGTTTGACAATGCAGATGAAAAACCAACATACCTGTTATTACATTTCTCTTCCAAAGGGAGACAATTAACACAGCATTGAAACACTACAGAATGAACGATCTCTCACCTTCTCTCACGCCGCTCCCAGCCTCAGCCCAGGTGGGCCATATTAACAGTGTGTGCACCTTCTTCTCGGTTCCCACAGCACATCTGAATACAAGTGGCCCTCTGCTCTCAGGACTAACGACATCAAAGCAGGTGCTCAGGAGGGACGAGCTGAGGGCTGAAGGGCTGGCCATTTCCTTCTTTCTTGACAGAGACCTTGACAATAAATACAGACATGTCCCAGACCCAGGCTTAGCTTCCTCTCAGAAGCTTTTAGATTAGTGTCTAGACATGGGGCAGGGGTTTCTAGATCTGGAAAATTCTACCACCACCACCCCCAACCTTGCATGGCTGGCTCCTTCTCATTATTCATTTCTTAACCAAAATGCCACCTTTTCAGATAGCCCTTCCCTGACCACCCCAGCTAAATTACCTCCCCGAACCCCTCACTGCCTAATTATTCCTTACCACAATGTGCCTGCCTTTTCCACTTTTTCTCCTTTCCTTCTCCTTTTCTTTCTCTTTCTTTTCTTTCTCCCTCTTTCTCTCTCTCCCTCCTTCCTCTCTCTCTCTCTTTTCCTTTTTTCCCTTCCCCTCCCCTCCCCTTTCCTCTCCTTCCCTCCCCTTCCTTCTTTCCTTCCTTTCTCTCTTTCCTTCTCTCTCTGTCTTTTCTGTCTTACTCTGGGTCACGCAGTGATGCAATCATAGTTCACGTTAACCTCTAACTCCTGGACTCAAGCAATCCTCCTGCCTCAGCCTCCCTAGAAGTTGAGACTACTACACCTAGCTGATTATTTCTTTAATTTTTTTTTTTTTTTGGCAGTTTTTGGCTGGGGCTGGGTTTGAACCTGCATATGGGGCCGGCACCCTACTCCTTTGAGCCACAGGCACCGCCCTTATTTCTCTAATTTTTGTAGCGATCTTGGGAGGACTTTCTGAGAAGACTTTCTGAGAAGACTTTCAATGGACTTCTGCTTAGTCTCATTAGTCAAAACTAGGCCACATCCCATGTCACAGGCACAAGGGAAGCGGGGCACAAAGACAAGTATCTGGCATTTTTTTTTTTTTTTTGTCTCTATAGTGGCCCTACTAGTAAAAAAAAAGGGGGGGGTGGAAAATTTCCCAGGTTCCCTTGCAGTTAGGTTGGGACTATGTGACTAGATCTGTCCAATAGACTCTGAGCAGCAGTGACACCTGCCCCTTCTGGGTTGAGGCAGTTAAGCCAATGCACCAATCCTGCCTTTAGACTTCTGATTTCACAAGAATGGTGACCATTTTTGCTAACACACGCTAGTGAAATTTCTATTATCCTTAGCTAAAGAGACCTGGACACAGCCTTTACCCACAATGCTGGTCATGCTCCACTTGTCTCTATTCCTACCTCAAATCAATCTCTGCCTTTCTTGGCCCCGTTCTGCCCAGGGACTGACCTATGAACTTCATTTTCTACCCTCTGGCATCCAGTTGGCTTCATCTGATGGGAGATAAAAGCAGGGGAGAAGTTGGAAGGGTGAGGTCAGGGTATTTCAGTCCCCATTCCTCCTTTACTTAGAATTGTGGAAGGAGCCCCCACTCCTGTTTCGTGCCTTCTTCTCTGTGGCTACAGTCCTTGTGGGGCTCTGATTCCTTCAAGCTTAGGGATGGTAATGTCTTTTTGGGTACCTGTATTCATTTCCTGTGTCCTCTGTGACCAATTACCACAAACTTGGTCTTCAATTGATATTTTTTTTCTTTGGTTCTTGGTGGTTTTCATGTCATATCTAAAAAACTATTACCTAATGCAAGGCCCCAAATATTAGCACCTGTGATTTCTTCTCAGAGTGTTGTAGTGTTGCCTCTTACATTTAAGCCTAACTCATTTTGTGTTAATTTTGGTGTGAGAGAGGGGTCCAACTTTATTTCTATGTGTGTAGATATCCAGTTTCCCAGTACGACTTGCGAAAAGATGATTCTCTATTGACTTCTCTTGATACACTTGTGGAAAATTAACTGACTTTAGATGTATGGGTTTATTTCTGGACTTCCAATTTTATTCCATTAATCTATATGTCTGTACTTCCACCAGTACACATAGTTTGATTACTATAGCTTTGTATTAAGTTTTGAAATCTAGAAGTGTGAGTCCTGCTATCTTTGTCTATCTTTTTCAAGATTATTTTGGTTATGCTAGGTTTCTTGCATTTCCACATGAATTTTAGAATTGATTTCATTTCTGTCTCCTGGTGATACCCTGGAAGGCAGAAGCAAGGATCTGCGCTATCTTTGTGATCTGCTGTGCTTTGTAGGGCCTATTAATATACATCAAAAGTTTGTTTAAATGAATGAAATGTTGCAGGTATTTTTGTCTGGAGTTTGGAATGAACTTCCACATATTAAAATACTAAATATTTCTTTCAGTTACAGTGCACTGAGCTACAAGTAACAACTACAAAACAATTAACTGGGGCTTAAACCATAAGATATTTATGGCTTACTTAACAAGGAGTCAGGAAGGCAATTCATCCACAGTTCAGCCATGTCCATCCTTGCTCTCCACTGTCTCTAGCAGTCTACTCTTTCTTCCATCTTGTCACCTCATGAGTACTGCATGGCAGGCACCATCATGCCAGTATCTCAAAGGTGGGCAGGAGGGACAAGGGCTTTCTTTTCTAGAGGGTTTGTGTTCCCTTCAGATGGGAAACCCCCTCCCATCTCACTGACCCCCAACTGGGTCACATGCCTATCCCTAGCCCAGCCATTGGGAAAGGAGGTGATTACCATGGCTCCTGTAGAGCAATGGTGCTTCATCCCAGGAAGCAGGTAGAGTTTACAGTTCCTAAAACCCAGGTAGGCAGGGGTGGGGAGAAATATCAGCTGTTGGGCACCAGGCACCAGTACCTCCCTCCCTCCCTTAGTACATACAGTGCACACAGACTAATTGTGGTGTCTTGTGTAGTAACCCAACTTACAGTATTGCTCCTTTGCAAAAATAAAAATTTTATCAGCACCAAAGAGAACTTTTGGGAAACAGCCCTTGAATACAATCCAAAATATATGGAATGCAATACATACTTATATCTTTTGAAACGATACTGAATATGATTTCCTCTTTCCTCACCCTGTAGGAGGCATTCTTAGAATCTTTCAGTTTGAGAATCATTTGTGAAACATAGACTGTCTTGTTGTAAATACTTTTTAATAGAAGGATGGTTGATAGTGAGTTTACTATGAGAAAGTCAAGGAACCGTATTAAATTTTGTTTGTTCATCTGTCCTCATAAAAAGTGACACTGTCCTCTGCACATAAACCCTATTTGATCCCCCTTCTCCCGTGCTGGCGCAGGGAAACTTAAGGTCACAGATGGAGAGCAGCAGAGCTCTGGTCTCAACGTCCTGCGCTCATCCCACTGCAACGGCGGCAACCACGCTCAACAAACTGTATTGGGTGTCCATGTCTTGGCCAGGCTCTGTCCTGGGAGCCAAGGGGACCGGAGGAATATGCAATCTAGTGGGTTGGGCCCGAGGGACCAGAACACCAAGAGGCTAATGACCGTACAGTAGCGTGAAGTAGGTGGGACCTCATTATACCGACTGCAATGGAACCAAAGCCGACGGTGCAGGAGCCCTGGCCCCGCGCCGCGGGCTCCCGGCCCTGGAGGCTCGCCCGGCGCGCGCCGGCCTCCCGCCACAGGCGTCGCTGTGCGCTCGCGCGCGAGCCGGAGACCGCGTTCTCGGGGAGCGGGCGCTCGCGCCGAGCAGGGGTTTCAGTTTCTGGCGCGAACTTCCGTCGTTCCGAAGTTGCAGGGCGAATTGGAGCGATGTCTGGGGACAGCAGCGGCCGCCGGCCCGAGGGCCGGGGCCGGGGTCGCGACCCGCACCGGGACCGCACCCGCTCCCGCTCTCGCTCGCGGTCCCCGCTGTCGCCTGTGTCCCGCCGCGGCTCCGCGCCGGAGCGCAGGGAGGCCGCGGAGCGCCCAAGCTTGGAGGATCCAGACCCGTCGGATTCCGGGGACGAGATGCTGGACCCGGCCAGCCTGGAGGCGGAGACCGATCATGGCCTGTGCCGCCAGATCCGCCATCAGTACCGGGCGCTCATCAACTCGGTCCAACGTAAGGCGGCGGCGCGGGGCGGCGCGGGGCGGGTCGCAGTTCCCGCCCTGAGGCGGGCGCGGCGGGGAGGGGGCCGGGAGGCTGGTGCGGCGGGCAGGCCCTGAGCGGCGCCGCACGCGCGCTGGTGACAGCCTCTAGCTCGAGCCGCGCCTTAATTTGTTTACAAAGTGCTCCTGCAAGCGTTTAGTCCCCTGAGCCGCGCGACCTTGGCTGGGGGCACGCGGGAAAGCCCGAGGCCAGACTGGTTGGGTGACTTGCCGGCGCCCAGCCCGCCGGCAGGGAGAGGCAGGACGCGGAGCGCGAGTGCCATTGGTGCACCCAGCGGTTCTCGGCGTGGGCTCGCAGCCCTGCAGTGTCAGCGGCACGCGACAACTGTCAGAGATGCATCTCCTCGGGCACCACTCTGACTCACGCAATCCGAAACTCGGGGGTGGGGGCAACCCATCTGTCAGTGACCCTCTCCGTGCTTCTTTGCTTGCAAAGTTTTAAAACCTCTCTATGATGGAGCGCTCCTCTGAGGCTTCAGGAGCTGAGCCCTCGGCGTAAAGGTCAGAGGGAGCCAAGGTTACCTTCAGAGTTCAAGCTGCTTAAAGGTTACAGTCACCTTTCTCTTTCCATGCCATTTTGGTTAAAAATCTAGAGATGTTTGAAGTAATTATCCTGGAAGCAATGGGCGGAGTTTAGCTTTACCACTCAAGTGCTAAATTTCTCAAAGTTTATATATATATATATATATATATATATTTTTTTTTTTTAAATAGAAAACCGGGAGGACATACTGAATGCCAGCGACAAATTAACAGAGGTCCTTGAAGAGGCCAACACTTTGTTCAATGGAGGTAATTCATTAGTTTATACACTTTACAATGCTTTGCAATACTTTTAGCTTTTTAGAAGATCCAAATTATTGACATCAAGCAGTTCCCACGTTGGTGTGTAACCAGTTTTGGAGCCTTCTTCATTACAGCGTTAATGCTCTTACCTTATAGTAAGGGCTCTACAGGAAATTCTGGGGGTGGGTCCCGAAATCTGGTTTAACAACCCCACAGGTGATTCTGTTGCCTGTTGAAGTTATTAAAACTTTGCATGTGTTATCTTTCCTGCTTCTCTTGTATTTACTGCTGTGTCCCTAGTATATGTTTGTTGAATGGATGAATTAAAGACCAATCTAGGGAGCCTCTGACATCCGATTTCTTTTCTTGTCCTCTTCCCAGTGTCCCCTCCCCTTCCTCGGCTCCTTGCTGTTGTTCTGTCTACAACCCAGAGGAGGTGGCAAGGTCTACAAGTGGGCCTGTGTGTCTCCAGTGGGGGGAGGAGGGGTATGTGTGTGAGAGAGAAAAAAATAGAGAAATCTCGGAACACTGAAATCCAGACTGTGTGGGCTTTAAAAACAACCTTAGTTTGAATTAAAGACAGTGGTAGTGGTAGCAGTGGTCTGTCCAGTGATGTGGGACAGACAGACGGGGGTATTCCCTGATGTGAGCCCTGGGTCACAGAGCTCTAGGACAACTACCCAGACTACCATCTCCTCCAGGCCCCTTTCTGGCAGGTCTGTGGGAAGAGGAAGGGAGAATCAGGATAAACACAGTGGTTAAAGAGTGTCAACAGAATCAGGGATGCTCCAACACCACAACTCGTACTCACCGAGGATCAGAACACTTACTTCTAGCCATTTCCTGCCCTGGCTAGTGGTTTAAGTGTTGCCTCCTTTTACCACTCCACATGTGCTCTCTCGTTTGTATTTCATGCTCAGACTGTAACCTCCTCACCATTCCCCATCTTGGGGTGCACATTTGTTAAATCTCATTAGAACCTTCAGGAACCAGGCCTACCTCTTTCACCTTGTGAAATCCCTCTGTTATGCTTGTAAGCTTTTTTCCCTCACCAGCCTCAGCCCCCAGTCTCCTCACTGTTACTCTTGACTCATTTACTTTAATTCTTACTCCATCCGTCATTTCCCCCTTAGCTACTTTCAATATTTTTCTAAAGCAAAATATTAAGGCGGAGTTACTCAGTGGCACCCTAGGAGTTGTTCAGTGAACACGTCTAAATGCTCGGCATTCGTGGACTTGGTGGTCTAAGTTTCAACTCTTCGGAGACCTTAAAGTCACCCATGACATGATATTTGCACTTTCCCTTGCAGTGGCCTTCTGATGGCCCAGGGAGACCTGGAGGAGTCCGGGAATGTGACTAGCATTTACATCCTCTGGCTTTGTTCTCTTACTCATTGTCACCTCCACTGTGACTCTCTGAAATGATGAAAAGCTTTTCCTTTGAGAACAAAACTGATGGATAAGACAAAAACTGTAGTATTTGTGGGGATTGTGTGCTGTTTTTGTGGATATTGTTTAGGAAATTGGTGATTCCAATGAAACGGCCCTGAGAAGCAAGCTGGGCATGGGTCTTTCTGTCTGAACTTTCCTGTGTTCTTCTCCTTTTGGCTTCCTTTATAATTCTCCTTTGCAGGAGTTCCCGAACCACTTTTTCACACTCCCTGTCATCCTCAGGGTCTGATTAAGCCAACATCCTTAGCCCTGCTGCTTCCCGCACTTTACAGCTTTATCCTACAGACTTTGGACCATCTCTCCCAGCAGCATCCTGCTTTGCCTGGCCTTTCCCTTCCTTTTTTATTTAAATATTCTTCTCTCTCCACATTGTCCGTGAAACTGTTTTTGAGCATCTATCCTCAGGGGACACTACCCTGTTGGCTGTAGACCGTTCATTTGGGTCGCTTTGCTGGGTTGACTATGTAGCCTGGGGAAGGTGGGACTTTCTGGTACCTGCTCAGCTCCTCAACAACTTCCACAGTGCTATTGGCAAACCACCAGGCCCAGCACAGGGCCTTATGTGCAGCAGACATGTGATCAGACTTACATGAATAATTTGAGTCGGAGGGAAGACATGATAGAGTTTGTTCAACTAGGCACAGTTATTAAAGAGATTGTAGTTCAGGAGTAACCAGGTAACAGGAGTGGGAAACCAGAGAGAAAGTTGGCTTTTAGGAAGACTGGGTAGCTTTGATTAGAGATTTTGGTGAGTTGGGCAGGGGAGCCAGTTTTAGAAGGAGATGGATCAGCTTTCATCCTGTTGATTTTTTTAGCCCAATGAGAAATCCTAGTAAGTAGTTGGAAATTTAGGGAAAATATCTGTGGATAATGTGTACTTTGTAATGTGTCTGCTTTCCTTCTGTTTTGAATAGTGTCCCGAGCACGAGAAGCCGTCCTGGATGCCCACTTTCTTGTTTTGGCTTCGGATTTGGGCAAAGAGAAAGCAAAGCAGCTGCGCTCTGATCTGAACTCTTTCGATATGTTGAGATATGTTGAAACTCTAGTAAGTGCAAAGCTACAGAATCTGAATAAAAAATGTTTTATCTTTCATACATTATGTAACTCTCCACTTTGCTTATGTCCATATGCAAATGTTTTCACTTCATTTTCCTTTTTTCCTGTTTTCTCTGGTCTCAAGCTGCCACCAGACAGATCTTACCAAATTAAACAGATGAAAGTAGAGCTATGTGGCAGGATTTAGGTTAGGAGCTTCAAGTAGTCTGAAAATCTCTGTTTAAAGACTCCAGGTGGTGGGCGCCTCCTGTGGTTCAGTGAGTAGGGCACTGGCCCCATATACTGAGGGTGGTGGCTTTTAACCTGGCCCGGCCAAACTGCAACCAAAAATAGCTGAGCATTGTGGCAGGTGCCTATAATCCCAGCTACTCGAGAGGCTGAGACAAGAGACTCGCCTAAGCCCAGAAGTTGGAGGTTGCTGTGAGCTGTGATCCCACGGCACCCTACTGAGAGTGACAGTGAGACTCTGTATCTAAAAAAATAATAATAATAAAGACTCTGGGTGCTACGGTTATTTAGCAATGGCCCTTCTTCATCAGTCAGTTATAAATCATTCTCAGTGACCTGGGACCTTTGTCCTGGGCTAGAAAAAAGCCCTCGCTGAAGGAGGCAGAGCTCAGCTGGAGTTAGGTCCGGTCAGGGGCATGTTTTCCTCTGTCTTTGGGACTATTTCAGAACCATATGAATATAGTTGGGATTTTGCTTTTTTAAGTTTTATTTTATTCACCTTTCTTTGCCACTGAATGAGTTTGAATAGTTGTTACTTGAAATTTTTAAACTTTTCCTTGATGGATGTACCAAAAAAGTCACATGGAGCCTGACCTTATATCTTGTCTTTTTTTTTTTTTCCTACTCTGAGTCAACCTCTGTCCTAGTACCAGCAGATACACCTTGGTACGAAATGTTATATTTCTGACTGGATGATGTTTCTGTTAAATGGTTATTAAAATGATTTGCACCATGAGATATGATCAGATAAAGCAGTCATTTTGTAAAGGCGTGAGGCAGAAGATTATTTGCCATTTGTTTTTTTTTCCAAGACAGAGTCTTATTTTGTCACCTCAGTAGAGTGCCATGGCATCACAGCTCACAACAACCTCAGACTCTTGGGCTTAAGTGATTCTCTTGGCTCAGTCTCCCAGTAGCTGGGTCTACAGGTGACTACCACAACACCTGGCTAATTTTGGCTGCAAGTGTCATTATTTTAGCAGGCCCAGGTCGGATTCAAACCCGCCAGCTTTGGTGTATGTGGCTGGCGCCATAACCACTGTGCTACGGGCACCAAGCCTGTAATTTGTTGTTTTTAAAACCTTAAAATTTTCTTTGTTCTTAAACTTTTTTTTTTTTTTTTGGTAGAGGCAGAGTCTCACTTCATCTCCCTGGTGAAGTACTGTGGCGTCACACAGTTCACAGCAACCTCCAGCTCCTGGGCTTAGGTGATTCTCTTGCCTCAGCATTCCAGTAGCTGGGACTACAGGCACCCGCCACAACGCCCAGCTATTTTTTTTTGCATTTTGGCCGGGGCTGGGTTGGAACCCACCACCCTTGGTATATGGGGCTGGTGACCTACTCACTGAGCCATAGGCGCCGCCCTCATTCTTAAACTTTTTTATTGTGAAGTATAATGCACTTAGGGAAGTGTATACTGAATGCACAGCTCAATAAAGTGACCATGTATTGGGTTTTTAAAAAATTACTTTTATCAAGTTTAATTCTATAGTTTACCACACCAAAATAAATTCTAGAAGTCTTAAAGCATTAAATATAAAAGCTTAAATTAATAGTTGTCTAGCCTCTGGGTGGGGGACATATTCCCATCTATAACATTGAATGTAGACAATATAAGGAAAAGACTGGTCGATTTGAACAGAACAGAATTGAAACACTCTCCTGTAAAGGTGTCAGGGTAGGGGTGGGTGGCAAAGGAAGGAGGAGTGGTAACTTCGCAGGTCTGATGGGCTCTTACAGCCTTTCTTTGCTTTAAAAGTTGGTTGCCTTTAATAGGATGAAGCTCCTTGAGGGCTTTGTGATTATTGTGTGTACATGATACTGCCATTGTAATTCGATAACTTCTAGGCATTTTACAGTATAATGTAACAACAGTATACCTTCACAGAAGTAAATTGAGTAAATTGGATTTATTACATTTTCTGTAAGATGGTTTGAGATAAGAGAAATATTCAGCATCTACCAACTCTTCTCCAGAAGGCAATTTTAAGATGAGTGATTCTCTCACTGAAGCTAGGCTACCGCTCTCAGGATATACTTAGAAGTTGAATATAGATTTCTAGGAGGTTGGCTAAAAATTAAAATCCAAGAGCCAGCTGAACTTCCCTGTGCTAGTAGGGAGCTTTTGATTTGGGATATAACTTTACATTTTTATGCTAGTAAACGCACAATTTTGCTCACTTGTCAATTACTTATGATAGAGGAATTCCCAGGGGGCTTAGTTCTTCTGCCATACCCAAACCCTCAGACTGCCAGTGGCCCTGTGGACATTTCAGCCTGGGCATGCCTTTGTTTTGGAGGCCTCTACTGTGCGTTGGAGGATGCTGAGCAGCCTCCCTAGCCTCTCCCTGGTAAATGCCAGTGGCATCAGTTATGACAACCAAAAATGTCTTCAGTTATTTCCCAGAGACTCCTGTGGGCAAATTCACCCTGCTTGAGAACCACTGGTCTAAAGCCCTGTACTTTCTCACCCAAAGGTTCTAAGTACATTGACAATCTTCTGCCAAAAAGAAGGTACCTTTGAAAATAGGAATTTATCTATACGGTTGTCTTCACAATAAGAAATTTAGCCAAATGACATGTTAAGACACTGAAAACAGGTTTTGCCTCTGGCCTCGTAAAGGTTTAGTGATGCAGGTTATTGGATGTGGTGAATGATTGCTTGTGGCTTAACTGGGGTTTTTTGTTTTCCTTCGTTTTTGTAGCTGACACATATGGGTGTAAATCCGCTAGAAGCTGAAGAACTCATCCGTGATGAAGATAGTTCTGATTTTGAATTCATAGTCTATGACTCCTGGAAAATATCAGGCAAAACAGCAGAAAACACCTTTAATAAAACCCATACATTCCACTTTCTGTAAGATTATTTTAAAAATCTGACAGACCAGCCATTTGTAAACTTTAAATTGTCTTTTCTTGTAGGAACAAAGATTTTTTGGTATTGTAGGGGTGACGGTCATGATGTCATTGTTTGGAGACTTTTTAAACTTTGATTTGAAAGTCCATAAACTCTTGATATGGTTGGAACCTTAAAGGATCCCTCATCCTGTGTTAGCGAGGAAAGCCTCACACAGGCCAAAACCCTCTTACCAAGGCTCTCTTCTGGCTCCTGTGCTTCTGTCTCTTGAGGCTTTGGGACTGTAGCTTATGTGTAGCTTTATATCATCTTTGAAATCCTTATCATGTAGGAGGATACCTCCCGCAGAGGGTGTCTTAAGATTCCACCAATATGTCCAGTGACATTCATTATAATATCCTGTTGGATGATCACTGTTCTATATTTGCAGACTACTTGAGTTGTTGTCACATAAGCTGCCCGATTTATTTTTTGGATATAACTCTGATTTTAAGAAGAGTTTTTCCTTATACTCTGTCCTATAGAGACGCCAAGATCAGCTGTCACTGGTTCTTCCTTGGGACAGCCTTGCAGTGCACTGGTGTGTTCCCTAATAGGTTCTTTCCCTAGGGAGCTGTCCAAGTTGTTTCAGTCCTTTCTGTGTTAAGTGGTACAGCTTTCATCTGTGTTTTTCTAGTTCACCTTTTCAGATGTCTTGGGATTGGTAGTGCCTCAGACAGCTTTGGAGATGCGCTGTAGCAGGTCTGTGTTGTGGAGTCTGGCACCTGTATTTAACAAGGCTTCAGATAACTCAGGTGCCCAGAGCCACTGTACGTACTATAGGATAAAGACCAAACTGCTTTATTATAGGATAAAGTCCAAATTCTTGTTTTGGGGTTGAGGGCTAAGCTCTGCCATAAATCCTAGGATCTAAAGATAAAGCCTTAAATTTCATCTCATCATCTAGCCTAATTTCCAGCCTCCCTAAAGTACTTACAGCTCTGTCCCTGCACTTGCGGTTCCCTTGGTCTCCAGTGTCTTTTCCTCCATCTTTTCTACCTGGTGAGGTTTATTATCTCACAAGTTTCCACTTGGAAGCCAGAGTGACCTCTCCATACAGAAGTGGTATCAGTGTAGAATCAGATTTCCCAGCCAGATTCCCCCCAACTTGGGGTAGGCAACGCTGCCCCAGTGCTGTCATAGCGCTTGAGCCATCCTATGTTACAGCACTATCGGATCTATCCTATCATGTTGACACGGGTCAGTGTGCATAATGTGTCTGTTCAGCTACCCAGAGATGTCCAACCTGGACATGCAGGGGTCACATGCAGATGAAGACTGTTTTGTTTATCTGTGGTGTCAGATAACGTAAAAAGTATGTGAGTGCTTTTTTTTTTTTCGGTCATCAGCTTTCCTTAGTGTTTGTGTATTTAATGTGTGGCCCAAGACAACTCTTTTTCCAATGTGAGCTTGGACACCTCTGATCTATACTTCATACTTCATCTCCTCGAGTGTAGGGACTACATAGGTCTATGTATTCTTGGGTCCTTGATTTCTACATTATACATCTATCTGCTGGATCATTTGGACTTTTGAGGGTGAAGAAGGAGAGTCCAAAAGGAAAAGGAATCCATGGCCTGGTTTTGCTTGTTATCCTAAGACAGGTGTGTTCTATGGTCCTGGGCTTTGAGACTCCACTCTAGCACCCCCAGATCCAAAGTTTTTGAGCACAGTGAAGTTGTTCTGTTCTCCTCCACATGTTCATCCTCCCCCTCATCTCAGAAGCTGGCTTTGCAATAGGTTAGCTGGAAAGACATCACAGGTACATTCACTGGCTTACTGGACAGAGCACTATGAAGGTGTTTCAGGAGGTATCTGAGGTTGAGGAAAGCTCTTAGATGCTCTTTTGGAAATACAAAGGGGACAAGGGATGTCAGAGCCCTTACCAAGAGCCTTGGTTTGCTGTCAGCTCATATATGTCACTGGTGCCTGGTCTGAATCTGACTATACCATGCAAATTGCTTTTAGCTAGCAAAATTAGTTTGTTTTAAACACAAACCAAAAAAGACATGAAAGCGTATTTTTCATTAGGTTGGGTTCAATACATGGAGAGTTTCCTGCACCAAAGCCACGAATTGATCGTCCAAGAAAAGTTCGTATGATAGAAGAACAGAGGGCAATGCCTGCCCAGGTTTGTTTGTTGTTTTTTTTTAAATGTTGCTTTTTAAAATACCTAAACTTAAAATAGTCATTACTATAATGTATATGTAATTTGGCCATCTTTTCTAAGCTTTAGGGTCTGGAACCATGTTCTCTCACTTAAGTAATCATTTTCTTTAAGCTAACGTATTGGATTGGCCACTAGTCTTTTAAGTAATTTTTGCAGTTTTGATGAGTTCTCTTAAACCAAGCTTTCTCAACCTCAGCATTATCACTGTTTAGGGCTGGACGATTTGTCATTGTGGGGTGCTGTCCTGTAAAATGCAGGATGTTCAGCAGCACCCCTGGTCTTCACCCACTCGGTATCAGTAGTACTTCTCCCCAGCTGTGATGCCAAAAATGTCTCCAGGTATTGGCAGGTGTCCCTGTAGGGCAAAATCACTCCCAGTTGAGAATGGCTATTTTAAACTGCCCCTTTTATTTTATTTTCAGACTGGAAATAGTTGATTTGGTAATATTATTTTCTATTGAGAAATTAATATAAAAATCTTACTAGAGCTAGAAAATTTTATTTTAACTATAAACTATAAGATGGGGATACATACTGCTAGTGGTCCCCAATAAAGGACATTTACAGGATTTGGGGTGTGTAAGAGGGAAGAAAAGGTTGTTAACAGGCAAGAGAGTGGGTCAGTCAGCTTGATAATCATGTTTTTTTTGTTTTTTTGTTTTATTTTTCAGTTAAAAAGAATGGAAGAGTCTCATCAGGAAGCAACAGAGAAAGAAGTAGAAAGAATCTTGGGATTGTTGCAGACATATTTTCGAGATGATCGTAAGTATGACACCAAATTTAAAGTGGAACAATTGGTATTTATCAGTTTTACCAAGGTTATGTTTATTTAAAAGGCATTTTCAAGGGCTGGGTGTGGTGGCTCACGCCTGTAATCCTAGCACTCCGAGAGGCCAAGGCGGGTGGATTACCTGAGCTTAGAGGTTCAAGACCAGCCTGAGCCAAGAGCAAGACCCCATCTCTAAAAAATAGCTGGGAGGTGTGGTGTGTACCTGTAGTCCCAGCTACTTGGGAGGCTCAGACAAGAGAATTGCTTGAGCCCAAGAGTTTGAGGTTGCTGGGAGCTGTGACACCACAGCACTCTACCAAGGGCGACAAAGCGAGACTCTGTCTCAAAATACATAAATAAAAGGTGTTTTCAGCTGTATGTCATCTTTGAAACATTTTGATCTCTTCTTGGCATATGAATTTCATGAGGCCTCTCCCCGTTAGAAGTCCCATGTGAGAATGCTGGTGAAGTAACTTCTCATTTTTATCCTTAAAATATGGTGGATTTTTTTTTTAGATTTCCCTTATTTCTTTCACTGGTTCCTGCTCTATGGCTGTACTACAGATGTATTTAACAAGTCTCCTATTTAACAGATGAATGAGTTCTTTATAGCATCTTAGTCTTGTGTAAATTTGCTGAAGTGAAAATCTTTTTATTCGACACCTTCAGTTGCCTTTAAAAACCTTAGTATATAGCTTTGTGCACTTGTGCTGTGTTTTTGTAGGACAGCTTTTTAGAGGAGGCTTATTTTTACTAGATGTATCAAATTGGCACGGGAAAGGGCTGGGCTGATGTGCACGGCAGGTCAGGACGAGGAGTGTGAGTGCGCACTGCTTTCATCTCCAGCTAAGGCTAGAGAGTATTGATTGGTCTTATTGGGAAGCAAAAATCATTTTTCCTGTTTGATGAATGTTTTTCCTCTTTTGTCCATAGCTGATACTCCAATGTCCTTCTTTGACTTTGTGGTTGATCCGCATTCTTTTCCCCGTACAGTGGAAAACATCTTTCATGTTTCCTTCATTATACGGGTAAGATTTAAGACTTTTTTTCTCCAGTTGCTTTTGTATATGTTTAAAAGGATACATAATAAAAGCTGTGGATGGGAGCTGGCAAAGGTATCTGTTCTAACCAGTATGTATTTCAGATCCATTTTAGCAAAGTGTTAATTTGCATTTTAACACCTTCATTGCCACACTAGGAAAAAACTTTTTTTCTCTGGCCACCATGCTTTATTAGGCCCAGAGACATGGAAGTTATATATGCTTCACAAGGCCACAGGCTCAAAACAGCGAGAGGCAAATGCAGCTCACACAGCAATTAATGTGCTAAGTAGGAGAAACTAGCTAAAAATTGGTGTGCTTGACATTTTAGAAATTATTTAAAATAGAGACTCTGAGTTTCAGTACAGAGTCATCAGTTAACTTAATTGTTTTCCATGTCTCAGAAAATAGACAACTAATATTTATAAATAAAAATAAAAGACAATTTCAAGAAACAGATCATGCCAAATCTTATAGACAATAGGAAAAGAAGAAATCAAGAGTCAAAGCATTCTATAATAGGCATGCTCTTATTTGGTAATGTGAGTGTTACTTTTTTGCATTATTATTATTGCTCAATATTTCATTGCAGCAATTGTCTGATTTCTTTTCTGAATGTATTTATCTTCGTTCATTCTTCATAAGGTTTTTGTTTCTAGTTCTTATCTTAAACATTGTTATCGTTATTAAATTTTAAGCCTTTTTAATTTTGTGAATGCAAAAGTGGAAACCAAATAAACACATGTATTAAAAAAAAATAGGAGAAGAGGATCATTAGAAATATTTGAGCTAGGCTTGACGCCTGTGGCTCAAGCAGCTAAGGCGCCAGCCACGTACACCTGAGTTGGCGGGTTTGAATCCAGCCTGGGCCTGCCAAACAACAGTGACAGCCGCAACCAAAAATAGTTAGGCCTTGTGGCGGGTGCCTGTAGTCCCAGCTACTTGGGAGGCAGAGGCAGGAAAATCACTTGAGCCCAAGAGTTGGAGGTTGCTGTGAGCTGTGATACCATGGTATTCTACCCAGGGCGGCTTGAGGCTTTGTCTCCAAAAAAAGGTTGTGCTAAAAAACAATGCTTCTTATTTGGCTTCCTTAACTTATAATCATATTTATTTTGAAAAACATGCTAGATCTAATGATGTATTAATAACTCTTTAATAAAGTCAATGAAAAAAATTATTTAGAGAAAGAATTGGTAAAATTTTAAAAGGGAACTGTAGGTTAAAATATGTGTATAAATGTTAGATTCCTTGAATATGACAGTTGTCATGTTTTATAAGAGAATATCCTTGTTCCCAAGAAACACACTAAAGGACTGGGGAAAAGGCAGGCTACCGGTGATTCTCACATTATTCATAAACAGTAGTAGCAATAGAAAGTAAATGTAAAACTTAATAATTGATAACTATGGGTAAAGGGTATGTGGGAGGTCTCTAGAGTAAGTCTTGTAGCTCTTTAAATTTGAAATTAATTTGAAATAGGTTTTAAAAAGAAGCCTACTCAGAATTGTACTACGTGTGTAGAAATTTGCTTTAGAGTGTCTTTAGTCTTCCATCAGGTCGTATTCCTACCCAGGTCAGATGAATTTGATTTTAACCTTTAAGCTTGTGTTGGCCAAAGTATTTTTCACAGACATGATAACAAAGGCATATTTTGCCAGTGGTCCCAATGATAGAACTATGCATAACAAAATGTGGACTATCCCAAAATATGTAGAAATCAGGTAAAGAGACAAGATAGAGTTTCACTTAACAGAGTTTCGGGATGAAGGCTGTGTCTGGGTGGAAACTGATGAGAAACCCCGTGTGAAAACCAATGTCAGATTATCAGTTATGTACCCGTAATCATTCAACATTTTTTAAAAAAAGATGTTAGAGAAGTCTTGTCCATATCATCTCGTTATTGTTGTGGTACAGTTTGATCATCCAAGATAGAGAATTTTCTAATCAAGTAATTTTTTTTTTATATATATATATATATAGTGCTTATAAGTTTGAGTCTGGATTTCAGTCTTCTCCTAAAGTCATGTTTTTATTTTAGGATGGTTTTGCAAGAATAAGACTTGATCAAGACCGACTGCCAATAATAGGTGAGTAATACTATGTTTGGAAAAATTCCTTGGAGAGAAAATATGTTATTAGAGTTTATGATTTTACTAAATGCAAATGAGTTTTCATTACAGGAAGCAGACTTTTACAGTGTTGTTGTCTGGCTCAACTAACTGAAAATACTGAAAAGATAGTCCACATTTAAAACTTTGATTCAGCTCGGCGCCTATAGCTCAACCGGCTAAGGCGCCAGCCACGTATACCTAAGGTGGCGGGTTCGAATCCCCAGCCCGGACCCACCAAACAACAATGACGGCTGCAACCAAAAAATAGCCGGGCGTTGTGGCGGGTGCCTGTGGTCCCAGCTACTTGGGAGGCGGAGGCAGGAGACTCGCTTGAGCCCAGGAGTTGGAGGTTGCTGTGAGCTGTAATGCCACGACACTCTACCCAGGGGGACAGCTTGAGGCTCTGTCTCAAAAAAAAAAAAAACAAAAAAACTTTGATTCATCTATGTCGCCCATTAAATGTCTAGAGCTATAAAGATTAACAGAGAATGACACAATTTCTCTCAAATTTTAATTGAGAAGGATTGTGATCACAGTCATTTTGTAGTTTCCTTCTCTCTAGCCACGTTCTCCTGGATGCCAGCTCCTTTTCTCCCTAGGGTTCTCAGAAACTTCCATTCTTACCTGAAAAATTTCACGTTCTCCATGACTCATGTCTTTCTGAGGTTTTCTGTAGAGAATGAAATACTTTTATGGCACACACTTGCTGCTTTCAACCTTCTCAGTTTCACATTGGCTCAGCCCTGGTTATCCTGGATAGGCAGAGGTTTTTGAATCTTTGGAATGTATTACTCTATAACTTGTTTTTTTTTGTTTGAGACAGAGCTTCAAGCTGTCCCCCTGGGTAGAGTGCCGTGGCATAGCTCACAGCAACCTCCAACTCCTGGGCTCAAGCGAGTCTCTTGCCTCCGCCTCCCAAGTAGCTGGGACCACAGGCACCCGCCACAACGCCCGGCTCTTTTTTTTGGTTGCAGCCGTCATTGTTGTTTGGCAGGTCCGGACTGGGGATTCGAACCCGCCACCTTAGGTGTACGTGGCTGGCGCCTTAGCCGGTTGAGCTATAGGCGCCGAGCCTCTACAACTTGTTTTAAGTGGAATCAAATGAGATTACTTGCTCCTGTAATGATACTACAGCAACTCAGTAATGCATAACTCCTCATAAGTATGTAATAGTGTAAGTGTCTTCTCAATATTGCTATTATTCTTCAGTTTCTGTTCAGATTACCTCTTCTGATTTACTAACCTTTGAAAAACTTTGTCTTTCAGAGCCTGTTAATATTAATGAAGAAAATGAGGGAATTGACCAAAACACCCAAGTTAGGAATCAAGGCATTATAGCTCTGAGTTACCGTGACTGGGAGGTAAAGCTCCGCACAGTTCTGACTCTGACTTCATTTGCTGTAAGCCCAGTGCCCAAATGTTCTTTGTTCCCTGCCAGGAAATTGTGAAGACCTTTGAGATTTCAGAGCCTGTGATTACTTCAAGTCAGAGCCAGCAGCGGCTTCTGCTTGATGCCAGCTGAAGGTAATGTCTTCTACAGGACAGCTGTCCAGTTTTATTCAAGTTTACTTGGCAATCCAAACATTTCCACTTTTCCCCCAAATATGCAGTGATCCTTGGATTTTTGCCTCCCTCTAGTGCCCCATTCTTAGAACTGTGTGTCACTAGAAAAGCGTAGCGGTTGTGAATTCCCTTTTCTGGATTGATAACTTTGGTGTTCTTAAGATTTGTGGCTGAAAGAAGCAGAGCAGAACTTTGTTCTTGTTTGGTTTTTCTCCTCCCTTAAAAAATGGATAAATTCTATTAGATGAAATCCTGAATCCTCCCATAAGTGTTGTTCTCTGCCCATTAGACTCACTTGTTTTATAGGAACAAAGCAGAGAAGGGGGATTAGGACAGAACTGCCTTAGAATGATGTTAGGAAGTGGGCATTTCTGAAATTTGAATTACGCTATGAAATAAATCCTAGTGATCCTACGGCATTGTGCACCGCCAGCAGCTGTGGATGGGAAACAAAGACCTAGGCTCTGTGGGCTCTGCCCCCTGAAAACCTTGGGCAAGTTATTTAATTGCACTCAGTTTCATTTTCCTTATCAATAAATCTATATAAAATGGGGAGATTTTTGAACTGGATAATTACTAAGGTTATTTTTGTTTTCTAGCTCAAATTTCGTATGATGCTGAGAATTAAGAATTAAAGTGAGCTTTTTAGTACTTCATGTAAACTCTTACTATGTGCTTTAATTAATTGAAATGCTTTTGTTCCAAGATAATTTATTTCTGTAAAAATATTTTGAGGGAAAGATACATCATGTGGATTAACCTGAGCCGTACTTACTGAGGAGGAGCTAGTTGTTAGATTTCCCTTATGTAAGTCATATGAACTTTTGATTCATCATTTATAAACCATGAACTGGCTGTTTTTTTCCCCTTTTTAGGACTCAGGTGGATAGTGAAATCCAAGAAGGAAAGAAGCATGGATTGTATATATTGTATGATTCAATGTTTTTAAAGACAGATTGTTTTTAGTAAAATGTAGCTTTTGATAGTTAATGAATTTGTCACGGTTGTCTTTGATTAAAGGAAATTCACTGCCATGTTCACAAATGATTGTGGTTCCTCTTTATTTTCTTATCAGGAAAAGTTCTCCTTTTCCCAATCCTAATCACTGGAAGTCTTTCTTAGGTTGTTAATGCCCTGTGGCTCATGACTCCTTTTATATCACTTTAGCTGTAAGGTTAGCTAGTCAAGGCAACAAGCAGGTTGTGCCACGTGAAAATGTTTTTATAGGTTAAAAAAAATTCATATATCACCAATTTCCTGAGATTCAGCCTATGATTTACACAAAAGAAACTATCAACTACTTTGCCGAGCCAGGCTGGCCTAGTTTCCCCTCAACAGCATCCCTGGCTCTATCTCGCCAGCCTGCCCCTCTGAGCTCCTCATCTCTGAGGGGCTTTCAAGTCTGCCCTTGCTGTTTTCCGGGTCCTGGTTGGTTCCTTTCCCATTCCCCACCTTTCTACTTTTGTCCCTTCTTACTCCTTCCCTCTTCCGTGGAAGGCTTTGGGTTCTAGCTCTTCCTAGCTCTTTGTATCAGGCCTCCCTGACACCTGTATCTGGAGTTTTCCCTTCAACCATGCTCAGCTCTAAAAAATTACTGTAACCCTCCTCACTGTATCCTGTCTCCTCTTTACATAAACATCATTTGCTAGCTACCCTTTTCTGAGTCGTCAAACCAAGGCAGTATGACGCCTTTCCCACCCTGTACTGAGTGAATCTGTTTTACCCTGAACTTACTGATTCCTTTCCAGATTGTTCACTCCAACGGATAAATGCTGTCCATCTGACATAGGAAAGTGTGCGCTCTGACACTGCACCTCCTTGATGGCTGCTGCTTTCCCTGCTTCCCCTTCCACTGCCTGACTCTCATGATGGATGTTATACTTATGTCCCGAATAGTCTCAAGACTTTACCTGATGCCTAAATGTCTTGAAAAAGCTACAGATATATGTGTAACCACTGGTTTATTGGACATATGTTTAAACATATATAAAACAGCTCCCCCAGATCTGCCTGTAATCCCTACACTGGCACTTTTACCACATTAGTTCCTCAAACAGAAACCTAGGATTCTCCCACCACCCCAGTGTGTACCTCAACCAGGCACGAATTCACCGTCTACATGTAGTCCCAGCTCCCCATAAATTGCTATCCTATGCTCTAGTCTATGTTTACAATAAAACTTTTTTTTTTGGCTGGGGCCAGGTCGCCACCTCTGGTATATGAGGCTGGTACCCTACTCCTTGAGCCACAGGCACCGCCTTGCAATAAAACATTTTCATACTACATAATTGGATGTGTGCTCTTTCATTTCTTTTACTATTCTCTCCCCAAATAGATCATAACCCCCTCGATGTACAGAGGAGCTACATCCTGGAGTCATGGCTCTTTGGCAGGGTGAGGGTTTAGCTCGGGGATTTGATACCCATTAAAGTTTAGGTGGATTGGAGAGCACAAGGCAATGTGTCGTCTGCATCACCGTAACAGGCTTGTATTCTCTTTGTCTATATTTAACCCTGCAAAGACGGAGTCAGATCTCTTTAGTCAATAGCAACTTGAGCTATGAAATTGTAGGTTCTGTGGTTTGTAGAAAAAGATTTATTTAGTTTTTATGAGCAATGTTAGACAATGAAAAGTATAAGGAAGGAAAGAGGTGTGATAGACTTTTCAGAGTCTTCAAGGGTTATTAAAAATGGCTACAAAATTTTTCTGTTTTGAGACAGAGTCTTAGTCACCCTGGGTAGAGTACTATGGCATTGTAGCTCACAGTAACCTCAAACACAGCAACTTCAAACTCTCTGGGCTCAAGTTATCCTCTTACCTCAGCCTCTCAGGTAGCTGAGACTACCGGCGCCCACCACAATACCCTTTAGAGATGGGGTCTTGCTCTTACTCAGGCTGGGCTCCAACTCCTGAGCTCAGGTGTGATTCACCTGCCTCAGCCCCTCAGAGTGCTACCACGCCCCACCTGGCTACTAAATTTTTTGATGGAGTCTTCTTTCCCCTCTCTTTGAATTTAGCCCAGTATTGGTGACTTATATGACCAACAGAATATGGCAGAAGTGATGTCTGGGACTTCTGAGGCTAAATCATAAGAAGCCTTTTAGCTCCCAACAGGCCATGTGGAATATACACATTCTTGGATCCCTGAGTCACCATGTAATAAGCTCAACTGCCACAAGACCCTGAAACTATATGGAAAGGGGACAGCAAGAGAGGGACCAGCTAAGCCCAGCCTTCTAGCCTTCCCCACCGTGGGCATGTAGGGAAAGCCATTCAGACTCTCCAGACCAGCCCAGTCTTCACCTGAATATCCCCAAGCAGCCCTGGGGGTGCCACATGAGGCAGAACTGCCCAGCTGAGCTCTGCTTCATTTCCTCATACGGAATCGTGAGATCTAATAAAATGCTGCGGTTTTAAGTCACAAAGTTTTGGAGCAGTTATACACCCAGGCAAAACACTTAGAGAGACTATACTTGTGACTCAGCTTTTTTTTTTTTTTTGGCCAGTTTGATGTACTTAGAAAACAAGGAGGTAAACAATTTTACTACACTCATGATTGGAAAAGTATGCAAGTCTAAAAAAGAAATATAATAAGAAAATAATCTAAACTTTATTGTGTTTTAGCTGACTTCTCAAAAATGGTGGCATACGCAAGACTTGTGACTTACGTGACTTGGGTTTGAGCAGTTTCCCGATTTCCTCCTCTCCTTTTGATTTTTCTGTCAGAATAGCCACTTCTATAAGTGTTTCTTGGTAAGGTTGGAAAATTGGATAAGCTGTTACCCATTCAAGCTCTTTCACCGCCTCTCTCTCCTCCTGAGACTTTAGGAAGGGCAGAACCTGGCCCGAGAGTCTCTGAGGTGCTCTCCGATCATTTCTCTTCTCTGAGAGTTCCCGCCCTCGAATCATTCGATCTTGATGGCCCTTCATCTGTTTCTTTGCCCATGACTCTTTGTGCTTTTTGGTTTCAGTTTTGTGTGTTTTCTGGATGTTTTCATTCTTTTCATCTTTCTCTAGTGTTAACGTTTTGGGGGAAAGTTTTTCGCTTGAGATTTTCTGAGGGAGTGGCCGGTATTTGTGGTCTCTGAGGCCCCGCGCGCGCTCGGCGCGGTGGATGTGTCTCTCTATGTGACTCAGTTCCCGCTTGGACACTAGATAGTCCCACTTTTTAGCACCTTCTGTTTTTGCACTTTGTGGCCTCTTTCCCACCGTTTGGATGGCCAATTTTGGAACTGTTTTGTCTGTCCAGGGTTCCTCCATCATTTCTTGGTATCGTTGGTAGTAGTATTCCTCTGCCTTAGCAAAACGGAAATCAAAGGACAGGGCCTTAAGTTTATGAAGTGTCTCCTCCTCCTCTTGAAACTTGTGCACTATCAGTTTCCTCACTTCTGCAGCATGGACGCCACCTAAACTCTGAAGAAAGGGAAGTATTAGAACGTTTCATGTTGGATGTCCTTTCTCCTAGTTCCATGGTACAGATCTCAAGTGTGGGACTAGCCCTCCCTGGCACTCCTCCGCTACGTCCCCCTGAGGGTCCCTTCACCATGTTCCGTGCCTTCTTCCTCCTGACACTTTCTATGTGCCCCCTCTCCCAGTGCCCTCTTAGCTGAGAGGCCCTGAGGAGCAGTCTCCTCTTCCTGCTGTCCCAGCTCTGGCCTCCTGCCTTTCCAGAAGAAACACTGCCCTGTGCCTGTCAGAAGCCAATTCATCTGCCTGGGCTTGTTGAGCTTCAAGGCTTTCAATTTTGCAATTATCAAATTCCCTGTCCTCAAAATCTCCCCTCTGCTGGATCACTCCCATCAACGTAAAGATATGCTCCATAAATATCATCTGTAAACAAGGAAGGAACATTTCTGCTACTGCACGTCCCTCTCCAGCTTTTACCCCCTTTCTGCTCCCTTCACATATAACCTGAGTGGCTTCCAGTGATCCCTGCCCACTCTCTCATCTCACATCTTTCCACTCCACTTGGGCTGGACTTCTTCCCCTACCACTCTCAGTCTGCTAGTCTAGTCTAGTCTAGTCCCCAGGGTTCTCCACACAGCAGGCTGTGGGCCCATGTCTGCTCCTGTCATCCTCCACCCCTCCGCAGCCTTTAATAGAGGTCATCACTGTCTGTTCCTTGAAGCATTTTCTTCTGGCTTCCAGGCTACTGCCAAGAGCATGTGACTAAGGTTACCTTGGACCCATTAGGCCATTTGCTGATTATCCCCAAGTGAGTGAACATCCTGCATCTCTTCCTAGCTCATAGCTACTCCTCCATCTGCCTTGCTAGTTCTGTCTTTTAAACATAATGCAGGACAATATGGCAGAGAAAACAGTCACTTAATATAGAGCTCGGTTATGTTTAGGCTTCCTTGGGTATGGGTGGTCTCAGTCATTAAACAAGGTGACCTACCTTGTGTCAGGCACTGATCTAGAGGAGAATTGAGGGATAGAGTGGCACCTGGGCTGCCCTGCTCTCACTACTCAGCCTCAGATGTGTGACGTCTCGGCTTGCCTCTCCAAAGTTTTCCCATTCTCAATTCTGTCACTTCCAACTTTAAAATACCCTTCATCCAGGTTTCACTTCCACCCTGCCGCCCCCACACTAAGGTAACAGCCTAACTGGTCTCCTTGGAACCACATTTCTCTCTTCTGCCCCCATGCCCGTCAGACCAATCGCTGTGCCAGAGTTGTCTTTTTTTTTGCAGTTTTTAGCTGGGGCAGGGTTTGAACCCACCACCTCCACACAGCCGACGCCCTACTCCTTTGAGCCACAGGTGCCGCCCCAGAGTTGTCTTTTTTTTTCTTTCCTTTTTTTAAAACATAAAACCAAGCACGCACTTTTCTGCCTAAAACCCTGGGATAGCACCTAGAAGAAAATCCAAAATCTCAGTATGGCATCTATTGCTCGGTCCCTGATGGCCTCCTTAGACACCTTCTCGGCTTGGCTCTCGGCTTGCTCTGTTCCAGCCACATGGGCTTTTCCATAAAAACTGTATTGTCTTTCCCTTCTGAATATCTTCACCTGCTCTTCCTTCATCTGCTCCTGCACACAGGACT